CACGGTGGTGGGGATGCAGTTCAAACCAGAGGGTGAGTCGGGGTGCAGAGAGCGAGACGAAAGAATGCACTGGGAGGGGGCAGAAGAGGAATGGATGAGATCTATGATGGACAGCCTCCCCTCAACCCATTTCCAGTTTGTGCACACAAATCCCCTGCTCATCAGTAGGTGGGGCAGAGAGAAACAACAGCGCGGGTCACAGATGCGAGCGCTCGGCTGGGGAGTCCGGTTCCGTGCGGGCAGTGAGTCTTGGCCGGAACTTTGGCAAAGTCCCTTTGGAAAGGGGCAGGGAACTGTGAGCCTCTTGGACGGCTCCTGTAAAATCCAAAGGAAAACCCGGAGCAGATCCACTGCCCCCCTGAGCTCGGAATCACCTAGCTTTCGGCCTGGCGCTCAACCCATCTCCCGAGGTCAGACGGGTGGATGGTTGGAGGGTGAGGAAAGCATGAACTGTGGTGGAATGAAGGACCTGGCTTTTATCCTGCTTCTGGAATGTTTTTTTTTTATTCTTGTGGTGCATCTTGTGAAATGCGGCAGGTTCAACAGGGTGGGGGCTTTATCCTCACCCACCTGAATGAACGTAAGCAGGGGTTGTGGCGCTTGCTGCCACATTCTTGGACTCCAATGCCCATCATCCCTCAACGATATGACACGGGAGTCTAAGAAAGGCCTTCCCCATGCCTGAAATTACGGGGGTGGGTGCAGGGCAAAGTAACAGACCTCCATGCTTGGCCAGTTCAGTCCTCCTCTCTGCCGTGGGGCCTGGCCAGACACTAATCAAACACAACTACTGAAGTAACTGTTACATCACAGAACACAACCAGCTTGCGGGACTACTTTGTGTGTGTGTGTGTGTGTGTGTGTGTGTTGTGTGTGTGTGTTTTACTGGTCCCCTGAAAATCCATTTAGCTGCTACAAAAGAAATGAGCAGGGGGTGGGGCGGGAGCGAATCAGATATAAACTGAGTGACCCCCTCACAGTGTTTGGAAATAATTTGTTTGGGATTAATGCCTGTCGCTAACTGGCTAAAAGACCCGACAACAGGGTAAAACTGTGTGGATTGCAAAGACGAGTTTAACCCTTCTTGCACTTGATGCGTTGGGAACTGTTCAGAATATCTAGGCCGGATGAACATTTTCACGAAACAGTTAACAAATCAACCAGCGAATTAATCTGCGTAAAGCCAAAGGCCACAGACTTAAAACGGCATCAAGGGGAACGCATCATCCTGATGCCCTAAAGTTTCCAAACACTGCTCTCTTTGATGCTTAGGGCCTCAGCACATGACGTACCCCCCACTGACCCCTTCCCTTTCTGCACAGTGCTGTATGGGCAGGGGGGTGGGTGGGAAACGTCCCGCCATGTGGGTTGCCATAAAACACCCAAAAACTCAGTTCAGGGTCAGCCCCCTCCCTAAGAGTTAGTGCTTTAACACAAAGACCGAAACAACAGAGTGGACCACAAGCACACGAGAGGGGATGCGAGCGTTCGGCTGGGGACTCGGGTTTGTGGGGGCTGTTGGCTCTTAGTCTGAACATCGCAGGAAGGCCGGTTTTCGAGTTTGGGGGGTGGGTGGGTGGCTGGGCGGGTAGACGGAAGAGGAGAAGAGGTTAAGCCCAGCGCTCGTCCTCTCCCTTGTCCAACCTCCCCGAAAATGCACACAGACACACGACGCAGCGTAACGCAATGATTTTGGAGGGTATCGCTCATGCAAGCGGGACGAGCGTCATGGGGGAGAGAGGCGCCTTGACCTTATTGCTGCAACAGCGGGGGTGGGGAGGGGAGAAGAGACGAGGCCCCCCACAAAGCAGGGGGGACACAGATGCACCCGACCCATCTCGTTTCTGTCCCCTCACCACTCCGCTGGACAACCGCTGCCGTTCCACGAAGCGTGAATCGGAAGAAATGCTGCGTTTTAAAAAACCAATCCCTCTGCCCCACCTCCATCCCCAACAACCCCCCCCCCACGATCCCCACAGGAACCGTTCTAATCCGACTTCTCCCCGTCGTCGTCCTGGTGAGCGTCTCCGTCGTGGCCGTTCTTGTCTTCCTTGGCGAGGTGGGCTTGCGAGCCCAAGGCGGAGAGGGAGAGGAGCCCGGTGCTGGCGCTGACGGCAGGCAGGGAGGGGGGCTGCAACCCCACCGGCAATGGGGTCAAGGGCAGGGCCAGGGCTTGCAGCTGCGAGAGCTGGTGAGCCTGAAGCTGCTGCTGTAGAGAAGTGAAGGGGAAAAGGAAACAGCGAGGAGAGGGGTGAGCGAGGGGCCGCACACCCACCCAGCCGTCCGGCAGGGAAAGGAAAATCAATCCGACATCCGCCTTTCGGCTCATCGGTCTACGAGATCCCCCTGGTTCAGGGGCTCAGCCTGCACTGCTCTGATTGCTCTCTCTTCTTTTCAGATGATACAAAAATGTGTGAGGGTTACGGGCTCCTTCACGGAGAGCGTACACGCAGACTCAGTGGCCGAGAGGCTGTAGAAGTTGGCATTCTGTAAAACGACGCCTCTGGAAGCATGCCGGGTTATACGCCTGGGCAGCTAGTATGGGGGGGGCTCAAGTTCGCGTCGCGGTGGCGCCGCCGGCTGTGTGGTTCACGTGGCTTTTGCACAACACACCTGTGGAAGCGCTTCGGGAAAACCACTCCACCCTGCTGCGGTTTCCCCCCCTCTACCGGGTCTACAGGGGTGCGTTATGCGCAGGTAACGGTGAAGCAGGATTTCAGCCAGGGTGTTGGTCTTACTTTCACCCTTAAACAATCTCCATTCAAAAGGGAGGTATTGGCTAGCACGTGGGACGCCAACACTAGACAAGAACCCCAAAAGACCTTTAGGGAGAGCTATAGCTGAAGGGGGCATTTCCCCACTCTTGGAGCAACCCAATAAAAGAAAACAAGCAGCCCAAGGTCACCCAGATGCAACACTGACAGGGATCTGAACTCAAGCCCTTCCAGTCTTGATCTGGTACCCAGTTAATTTTTTTCCCCCGGTGTACCAATGCTGCTCAGCCGATCCAAGAGGATCCTTTGGAAATTCAGTGGCCCAGGGTTCCTGGGTTTCAAAATTATTAGTTTCTGTTTGCAATTCTTCCTTTTAAAAAGAAGCTGAACAAGCAGATGCAGAAGCAGAAAGAGAGAGAGAGAGGACGTGGGGAATGAAAGAGAAATAGATTGCCTTGGAAAAGGGCAAAATGGCTGAAATCGGGAGGAGTGATCCTACTCCTGGGTTCCCCTGAATTTGGAATTCATGAGGTCATTTTTGTATCATCCATAAGAACACCCTAAGGAAACCTGGCACAGGTCAAACCCCCCCACCCCCCACCCTCCGCCAAGTTCTCATAAGGAGCGCCACACACCCGAATGATGGAGTTCAGCTCTGGGGCCGTCACTTGCTTAGCTCGCTCGATGGCTCCGAGGACCTGTTGTTGGTGCTGGGAAGACAGGGGTGGGGGTGAGGAAAGAAAGCCAAAATCTGTTTAATGGATGCTGGGGATGCAAGCAAAAAAAGGGGGAAAAAAGGCAGATACTGTACAGGGAACAGATGGCCTAACTTAAGAGAGGCCCGAGTGTAACGAGAAAGTAGAATAAAACACGGGGGGCCTGCCTGGCTCAGAATCTGTATTAACTCACTGATCTCCAAGTTAGTCAAGAGTCCAGATAAAGCTCATTTCCCATGATCTCCAATTCATCACCAGGAACATTATTAGCACACAGCAGGACTCCGGGGGGTGGGGGGGGAGGAGAGGAACTATTTTCACATGTATTACCAGAACAGGCCACTGGATGGAGCCAGAGACTATGCTAAGAATACTTGTTAGTGAAGAACACATAGCATGGCCTCTGACCCCCTCTAGTGGCCTGTTCTGGTAATGCGTGTGGGGAAAAAAGTCTTGGTTTTTTCCCCCTTTTCTTTTACCATTATGGAAACTAAAAACCATGCATAATAGTGAACACTATATACGGTTTTCAGCTCCCCTGGGGGTCTTGGAACCAATCTGCAATGGATATGGGGGTCCTACTGTATTAGCCAGGAGCCCTGGCCTATGCCATTTCCCATAGCACCTCCCCCATTCACCAGAAACATTATTAGGCTACTGGAAACATAACCACTCAAGTGCTCCTAGCATAGGAAGCCCTAGCAGATGTGAGAACGGAAGGGGGCTCGGGAAAGACCGTTCCCAGAGCATGATCTCTCATGCCTACCAGGGCACCCTGACCAACTACGAGTCATAGGTTCTTGAGTGTTTATTGCAATTCCGGCTTCCTGAGCCCTAGTATAAAGGACAGGGGCTTTGTGACGGAAGAAGGACAGCCGTCAAGAAGCTGGGTGTTTGCGTCGCAGGGCTCAGACACGGGATGCGCTGGCCCGATTTCAGAAGGCAGGGCAAAGCTTCTCTCCTCGTTGGCCAAAACATGGTGGACACAGACAGGGGATATCTTAGCCTTTCCAACCAGAAGATGAAAGATAAAGAAATAAAAAGCTCTACCTCTTGAGAAAGGTACGGCAAGACCTGGGCGCAAATTCCATTTAACCGCTTCACAATTTCAGCCTGAAAGAAGAAGAGGAGAGAATGCCAGGCGGGAAGAGACACCCACTTTTGAAATGTATCAGGGGGACGGGATGCTAGAAGCACAGAACCAGGGCGTTGGGAGGAACCAGCCAGAGCCTCGAGTCCGACCCCCTTCCCAAGGGGGGAAAAAAATCCAGATCCAAGCAGATCGGACAGAGGGTGGTCCCATTTCCACCTGAAGGCCCCCCACGCTGTAGCGCTCACCACCTCCCGAGGTCATGGGTCCCGTTGTCGTACTGCTCTAACAGTTAAGTTTTTTTTTCTTGATCTTCTGCTGAAATCTGGCTCCCTGTCGCTTAAGCCCATTATGGTGTGCCCTGCATTCTGGGAGGATCAGGAACAGATCCTGCCCCTTCTCTGGAGGACTACTTTGCAGGTCTTTGAAAAAAGCTCTCCTCTCTCCCTTCTGTCTTCTTTTCTCAAGGCTAAACAGGCCCAGTTCTTTCCAGTCTTTCCTCCTCCCAGGGCTTGGTTTCCAGCCCCCCGATCATCCTCCTCCTTGCCCTCCTCTGAACTTGCTCCAGTTTGTTGGCATCCTTCTTGAAGTGGGGTGTCTCCAGAAATGGACTCTAGAGAAGGCCTAACTCAGCAACACCTTAAGAAGGAATTTCTAAGGAATTATTTTGTGAATTGGACTGCTGGATACCCCAAGGGTTTTTCTATCTCTGGCTGCGGACCCAGAGGTTGGGAGTTCGAATCCCCCACAGTATCTCCTTCACAGGGACTGGACTCGATGACTGACAGATCCCATTACTGTAAAATTCTATTTATTGATGGCGTTTTGCGCAATATGAGAGGATAGGATCCTGCATTCGAGAGATGGCTTCATTTAAAATTCTGCGCAGGGCAACTGGGAAGGGAAGCGGATGCTCGGGTGGAAAGGGGGAGCAGAGGCAGCCGGGAAGCAGTGGTTTCAGCCTTTAGGTTTTCTTAAAGTAAATTGTCAAGAGAAAACGCTCACCTGTTTGTGCATTTCAATATTGAGTCCGTAAGACATCTCATAATACTTCAAGTCCAAGAAGCAGAGAGTCAAGGGCGGGGGGGAGGGGAGTTAGGATTTTGAACAAGAAAAGAAAACATATATTAATTTCCTTGGCGCACCGCATAAAAAGCCTCTGAATTCTAGTCTCCCCTGCCGCCCCCCCAAAATAAGATGCCTCCTGGAAACCCAGGAGTGAACAGTGCCCCTTCTTGGTTGCCTCCTCCCTCCCAAATCTGAGATGGGAGGTATACTGCAGCTGTCCATGGAGGCTCCTTTCTTGGTGGCTAGAGAAGTTGCAGGATACATCGACAACCCTCTCAAGGGGTGCTGTTAGTCAGCAGCTACCTGACTGCACCTAACAAATGATCTACGCTTTTGGGCCACTGCACCCATCTGAGATGAGGGGTGCTGCCAGCATGTTGAGGACTAGAAACATTTGCAGTCAAGAGGACTAGAAACTTTTTTAAAAGCAACAAAAGCTCGCGTTCTCAGAAAGCTCGGTTCCTTAAGAGGAAGCCACAAAGATGGTCCATTCCCCACTGTTCCACCCTCAGTGCTGTTCCTGCCTCCCCGCTGGACCCGACGGCCCCGTCGCCCATGCAAATCTTACCATCACGTAATGGCGCTGCATTTCTGACTTCTCGCTGGCAAGTTTGTCACACTCCAACTTCAGACTGCCGAGAAAAAGGAAGAGGGGGTTTTTTGCAATAGAAATCAGCTGGCCTCTAATCAACAAAAAATAAGGGTAGGGAAGGAACCGCTGATTCACTACAGGCAAATTTTATATTCATCCTTTAGAAAACAGACCCTGGCAAGGTTTTCATGAATCTGTACTGTTGGGAGTGTTTGCAACCCTGCATGCTGCTTTTAGTAGGTCTGGCTGGGAGGGACCTTTCTGGGCTGGAGCGACTGTCAATCAATCCAGCACCAACCTATCGTTCCTTTCCAGCCTCTGAACTCAAAGAGAGCCCCGCCTCTCTGCTTTTGAGCTTTTTCCTCTCTAGAGTCTGTTGCTGAAAACAGTCATGTTTGTCAGTTTGCTGTCTGACCTCTGCACTACTTACAGTTGGTTTTATTCTTTCTCCTACTAACATCTCAAAGTGAGTTACTGAGACTGCAAGGGACAGTTAAGGAGAAAAGGGGTGGACTACTCCGGGGACTGTGAAACTATTCTGCTCTGTGAGTCCGTGCTGTACTGCTAGAGGGATTTAACCAAAAAAAAAAAAAATCAAAACTTTGCAACAGGGGCAACCCTATTTCTAACCTCTCCCAGCAAGTGCAAGGACTTTGCCTACCACACTTTTCTCTATTCATGAGCCAGAGGCATGTTTCGACTTTGTGCCAAATCAGATTACAAAGACGTTATGGCCAAAGCCTGAAAGAAGAAGCAAAGCGGAACGGAAAACATACCTGTGGTATTGAGCTTGAAGCAGCTGGAACTCATCTTTAATCCGGTCACAGGAATCTGATGTTGTGAATTTCAGCTGCTGAGGGAGGTGAGAGGAACCCTAGGTGTGAAACAAAACGGAGAGGAAAATGTATTTTATCCACTGTTGCACGAGTAGAATTTACAAGCTGGAGAGGGTTGGCGGAGGGTTACTGTCCGGAGCAGCATCAAAGATCAAAATAATCGCAACGATGTCCAAAAGGAGAAAAAGAAGAAGGCTTTCAAACAGCCGGGGAAAACAGCGGAAAGGATGGGCTGTTGAGAAGGTCTGCAAAGGGGACTCAGTAAAATCAATGCAGGAAGGAATGAACACAGCCCGGAAATGGACGCTAAGAAAACCAAAGTTCACAATCGTCAGTAAAAAGCAGGGAACAGAGCGGAGACGGAAAAGAAAATGTGGGATGAACGCAGCTACACAATAAAAGCAAGGCTACAGTTGGTCCCGAGCAGCTTTGTTAGGAGAAGAAATATAAAACCAGCTTTGAAAATGAACACTGTACGATTGCGACGTATTCTCGGTTCTATCATAAAATGCTGGACTTCGACCCAGGCGATGGTAAAAAAAAAGATAGAACCATTTCACGTGTGGGTTTAAATCAAACTCAGGGGCATTCACACAGAGGGCTATACGAAAGAGAGAAGCTTATAGAAAGGTGGGTTTAAAGGAGTAAGCTGAAAATTTCTTTGGTCAAGAGGGTGATCGAGGAAGAAGTACTGACGTGAAAAAAACAGTGAGGAAGAAACCATCATGACGTCTCAAATGAGGACGGCCATAATGCTTGACTCATATAATGAGAAATGAACTGCCAGGATTGTTACAGCTGATCATTCATGATAAAAATAAACAGTGAAAGACTTCAGGAAGGAGAAAAGCTTTTAGGGTAAGGAAGGGGGAGTTTGATTCCCCACTGGGCAGGGGCTGGACTCGATAATTCCTTCCAGTTCTGCAGTTCTAAGATGATGGCGATGATGATGATGATTGCAATGCAGCATCCTCATGTTAAGCTGTCATATCCAGCATCAGTAAAGCCACAATAACCTCCATCCAGATATTTAAAAAGGCAGCTGTAAATTGCAGGATGATATAACAAGCTGGGTATTAAAAGAGTGATCATTTCCCTCACTTAAAAAAAAAAAGTTAAAATCTCTATTTTTGTTTCAAAACAGGACACACGCCTCCCTAAAACACTTAAAATATCAGCAGCTTGGCAGAAGCACTAGCCTGTCTTTGAGAATCACTGACTAGCAGCCATTTCATCTGGCAGATCATAAAGTCTGTGTCGTAATACATATGTTCATCTACAAGATTCCACAGGATTCTTCGTCACTTCAGATGCTGCCAGCAGTAGGTGAGGGGATTAAATAAATTATTCTGGGTATTACACAAGGGAAGTGCTTGAAATTGACCAGACTCGGGTAATCCAGAGAGGGAAGGTGGGAAACCCTGTCAATTTCACCTTCAGGATTGAAACTGACAAGACACCAAGATCTGGTGAGCTTTTCACCTAGAGAGAACGGGGCTTTGTGAGATCTGAGATGCAGGACGGCACAGTGGTTAGAGCCTCAGGCTACCAATTTGGGAGACCTGTGTTCAAACCCCGCTCCCCTTTGTCACTGTGACAATAAACTGGGAAGGAGCACAGCCCAAATTCACCACCTTCAACTTGTCCCGAGGAAAACTGAACTTAAGAACCATTTACTGCAATGCGCTTTACGTGGGGCTGCCTTTGAAGACGGTCCGGCGACTGCAACTGGTCCAGAATCGAGTTGCGCGGCTGGTGAGTGGTGCGGCCGCCAGGGAACATATCAAGCCGATTCTGTACAAGTTACATTGGCTGCCAGTTGCTGCCCGGGCCCAATTCAAAGTGCTTGTTTTGACATATAAAGCCCTAAACGGCTTGGGACCTGGATACCTGAAGGACCGCCTCCTTCCATATGAGCCTACCCGGCAGTTAAGATCTAGCCAGGGCGCCCTTTTGAAAGAGCCGTCCCTCAAGGAGGTAAGAGGGATGGTTTGTAGACAAAGGGCCTTTTCGGCAGCTGCCCCCAGACTATGGAATGCCCTCCCGACTGAGATTCGTCTGGCGCCGACACTGATGACATTTCGGCGCCAGGTCAAAACCTTCCTGTTCCAGAAGGCTTTTAACTGAAATAATATTAGCTGTGGGTCCGATGGCAATTTTATATACTGTATATATTAATTGTATTTTAATTGTTGCATATTTTTGTTGTATTTTGGATGCTGTAAGCGGCCCAGAGACCTTTGGGTAGTGTGGGCGGCATATAAATAAAATAAAATAAAATAAAATAAATAAATTTATGGATGGATTATTAATTACAATTAACCTCCACTCTATACTGTTTTGAGAAAACTGGGCCACCTCTTGCTCCCCTCAATTGATACCTGGTATCTGTCTATCCTTGATGAACTTCAGAAGGAGCGTTTCATCATGGTTCGAAAATGGGAGAGTGATTTGATTGAGCATCCAAGACGTCCCAGACGCTGACCAACATGCACTGGGCCAGTCATCTCAATCCAGAAACTCTATGTTATAGCAGTTATGCTTTCCCCCGCCCCCCAATTTCCCACTCATACTGAAGTTCTTAAGTCTGGTGAATTTATTAGAGGCAGTCCCGATGCACAAAGGCCCGGATGTGGTGTAAGGATGTGTCTGTTCCTGTCTAAATTAGGTAGAACGATGAGGACTAGATGCTTAACTTGATTATTTTGGGTCCAGGTGGCCTTATACTGCAGGGGTCTTCCAAGGACATTATTCTGTGCTTTTATGATCATGGCTTGGGCTGTAGCCTCAGCTGAATGTAATCATTTCCCAGGGTCAGTTCCAAATATTTCCAAAAAAGACTCGCATCTCTAGTCTAGGAGGCCTGCTGTCATTTGGGATAAAGCAAGGTTGCACAAATCAGGGGGGAAAAAACCAACAACTCGCTAGCTGTCCTTCCAGGCCCGTGACATTCTCTGCTCCCTTTTTCTCTGGGAATTTTTTTTTTTTAAATCTCCCTGTAGCCTCCAGACGGTGTGATTTGCCTTTGAAATAGGTCACAGCTCCCTTCGGCATGGTTTCGCATCCCAGAATACCCATCTTTAATTTAAAAATCTGGAAGTGGATATCTAGGCAGTTTTGGTTTCACACGGTATGCTTCTTTGCAGGTTTTTTGGGGGGAGGGGAGTCCTACACGTCCACGGCCCTTTCTGGAGGATCCCAGCTACAAACAATATCAAACAGCAAACAGGCAGGTGCTATATGCTCGTTTATTAGTACACTTTCAAATTAAAACAAATAATCTGTTAATTGTAATTGTTTAATTTAATTACAAGCTGCCTTGACACTCATTCTGCCAGGACAGGCAGAATAGAACTCAAATAAATTGTTCTGGGTGGCATCGCTTAAAGGTCCCGAAGCCACCTTGATCTTCTGTCTGTCTGTCTGTCTGTCTGTCTGTCTGTCTGTCTGTCT